GACCTCGAGCTTCTGGAGGAAGCCTACCAGCACTTTGTTTCTCGATATGACCCTCTCCACGGTGGCTTTTCCACTGCGCCGAAATTCCCCACTCCATCTAACCTGAGTTTCCTATTACGTTTGGGTATCTATCCGACGGCGGTTGCAGACATTGTTGGACGTGATGAATGCGCCAAAGCAACTGCCATGGCTGTTGACACGCTTATCAGTATGGCGCGCGGGGGTATCCGGGATCATATCGGCCACGGTTTCGCACGATACAGTGTCACTGGCGACTGGGGCCTGCCACATTTTGAAAAGATGCTGTACGATCAAGCACAGCTCTTGGATGTCTATGTGGATGCATTCAAGATTACCCACAACCCCGAGCTGCTGGGTGCGGTTTACGACTTGGCTACCTACTTGACTACTGCACCCATCCAGTCGCCAACGGGCGCGTTCCACTCGTCCGAGGACGCAGATAGTCTGCCCACGCCCAATGATACCGAGAAGCGAGAAGGTGCTTTCTACGTCTGGACGCTGAAGGAGCTGACGCAGGTGCTGGGCCAACGAGATGCTGGAGTCTGCGCCCGTCATTGGGGTGTCCTGCCTGACGGAAACATTGCGCCTGAGAACGACCCACATGATGAATTCATGAACCAAAATGTCCTATCGGTCAAGGTAACGCCAAGCAGGCTTGCAAAGGACTTTGGATTAGGGGAAGAGGAGGTGGTGAGGATCATTAGAACAGCGAAGCAGAAACTCCGGGATTACCGCGAAAGAACGCGCGTGCGCCCCGATTTGGATGATAAGATCATTGTTGCCTGGAATGGACTGGCCATTGGTGCTCTGGCTAAGTGCAGTGCGCTATTCGAGGAGATTGAGAGCTCAAAAGCAGTACAATGCCGAGAGGCAGCGGCTAAGGCGATCAGCTTTATCAAGGAGAATCTATTCGAGAAGTCTACTGGACAGCTCTGGCGCATTTATCGGGATGGCGGCAGAGGCAATACCCCAGGTTTTGCTGATGACTACGCATACTTGATCGGCGGGCTGCTGGACATGTACGAAGCTACATTTGATGACAGCTACCTGCAATTCGCCGAGCAACTGCAGAGTACGTATTCTCAACTGCGTCGGTGGAAGTTGTGGTGCTAACGCTCTTACTAGAATATCTGAACGATAACTTCCTTGCCTATGTGGGGACCACACCAGCAGGATATTATAGCACACCTTCCACAATGACATCCGGGGCTCCGGGTCCGCTCCTTCGCCTGAAGACCGGCACGGAGTCGGCCACGCCAGCTGTCAATGGGGTTATTGCCCGCAATCTGTTGCGCCTCGGAAGCCTGTTGGAGGACGAGGAATACAGGACGCTTGCCCGGCAAACATGCCGCTCATTTTCCGTGGAGATACTTCAACACCCCTTCCTCTTTGTTGGGCTTTTGGACGCTATTGTTGGATTGGAAACGGGGACACGGAATGTCACAGGCGTATTCGCTACCTCTGTAACCGAGGGCAGTGTCCAAGCTTCTGAGGGCGTGATCAGAAAGACAGATGAGCCAGTCTGTGTGCGGGACATGATTGTACAGAAGATACGGGCGGAAGCCGGGTTGGCGATATCGACGGCGACCACGACCGCATCTCTTGTGGATATCCGAGCGTCTCATGTGGGAGACTTTGTAGGGAATCAATCTTTCTGGTTGCGGACGCGAAATCCACTGTATAGGGAACTGAAAGCTTCTGAGACAGCGAAGAACCATCTTATGGTTTGTGAAAGTGGGCGATGCCGGATTGTGAATATAGTATGAACTGTACAATGAATGGAAATAGTTCAGTGTATTTTGTGGCCTTGCAGGATGTTTCAGCTCTACAGCTATCATGTGTAATCAGTCAACAGATTGATACAATTGTCTGGGATGATCCCGATAGTTAGCGCTTTACATAGTTCCTAACCATCCAGCTTGCGTATGACAAACACAGGGTTAGTAGCAGTAACCCAGTCTCAGCCTCAATGTAAATGCTCCGTCGAAACCCCAATAAGCGATACGCTTGAGCATCGTTCCACCGCATCAGTCACACAACCGATCTAAATATTTCATTGGGTTGCCTTGCTTACTACTTACAAAGAGGGGTGACACAAAATTGGGTTTAAGGGAGGGGTACAAAGTTATGTTGCAATTGTTTCCAATTCTTTGTTTTGAGTCTGAGTTTCAGTTTCATCGGCTGTTTCAACCATAGTTACGTCATTGCTGGGGTTCCTTCTTTTTGACCTTTTCTTTTTTCCGCTTGGGTGTCAGTGAGGATCTGGACTCGTCAGTTGAGATCGAGATCCGGGTCACTAGATTGGTTGGCTGGTTGCCTGCTGAGGGAGGTTGGGAGGCATGTGGTTTGATTGGTTGGGGATGGAAATTAGATTGATTTGGAAGTACAGTAGGTGCTCAGTGTGATCTGTCTAGGACTTAGTATCTTGTCGGGAGGAATAATATACATCCGCTTGGGTTGTTATTTGACTGTGCTTTGTTGTGAATGGAGATACTAGTAGTATGGATTGAAGTTCGGGTCGGGTTCGGGGCTATAGTTCAGACTACTAGTAGTGCTGCTGTCAAAACAACTCATATGTATTGTAGATTATGTTTCTCATGCACTGGCAGTAAGTCTTGGTTATTAGGCGTGTCTAATTGGATGTCATTGTGGCTATATTGAAGTGGTTCAGTTCAACTTAATAGAGGTAAAATGTTGTGTCACAGAAATATATACTAATGAGTAAGTGATTTACTTACACCCTACCTACATTCGGATCTGTAAACGACGATATAGAAACCATTACCATAGTCACAATCTCATTACCATAATAAATATTCAATCCATAGAATCTAGAATCTAGAATTAGTAGATGCAAAGTAGTATCAATGTCCTGGACAACTGCCCAAGAGGGGCGCGCGCGCACTCGGAGCCGAAGTTTGGTGCCGGGATGCTCCGCTAAAAAATCCCGCCCAAAGGCGGAAATGCATCCGAGGGTTGGGTCAGTCCATCCATTACAGAGAATTGGATATTGGTTCGGTTGGAGTTTTGGTCGCTAAGCTCTTCCTCATTAAGTTGTAGGGTGTGTATGTGTATGTGTGCAACGTAAGCTAGTCAGATATCATGTGAATTGTCGATGAAGTTAATTTTGTGATGTTATGTGTCGAAACTGTCCACACTTCCGCCAAGCTCAATGCTAAACGCGCAAGTAGCCGGTGTATCCAATCGATGGGATTGGATGGATGACAGGGGATTCGTTATTCATTATGGTGCTTTGGAAATAACTCAGCTTGTTATCGTTCTAATTCTTTGGAAATGCACACGTGTATGTGTGTATCCGTGCGGAGTTAGGCAGAAGAAATAATATCTCTCAGTATGTCAACCATGAAAGACGCAGGGTGTGTATCCATGGCCAGAGTTGTTGCTTACGATCTGTCGAAATTTTTTTTTCTTCTAGAAGAAGAAGGTATCCAAGGATCCGCATGCAGTGGCAAAGAAGGATTTACTTGAAAGCAATGACAATGATTTGCTTGATGTATGGTGTAGTTTAAAGCCGATGATAAATCTGAATGTGATTGAGGTGTCTTTATCCGTTGGGAACCATGGAACCGGAGAGGGGGCTTGTGTGTAAATGCAAAGAGACTTTATCCCTCCCTCTCGCGAACCTCTCCTCTCTTGTTTCTCTCTGAAGCTCTACAAGTGTCATGGGCGTTTGTACCAAAGAATGGCTGTTAATGGCGCAATTCCCACCGAATGGGTTCATCTAGACTAAGGGGAAAAAGCCGTCTGTTAGATAGATGGACTCCATCCTAGGCACGGCATATCCATGGTTCTAGAACTTCGACACATCACCCTCTTAACTGTGTGACGGGAATCTCCACGACCGAGTGTTAAGTAGTGGTCCTGGGGCAACAGGCCTCGGGAAAAAGTCTAGATATTACATCGTATCGAGCTGCGAGGCAAAAAAAGAGAGAGAGAGAGAGAGAGAGAGAGAGGGGGAGAGAAGCTGGAGCCGGGCCACTAGACTACTTACTAGACTAACTCCAGGTACCCAATCTCCGAAAGATGATGGGAAGGCCACAAGTGAAACGTTAGCGAGCGCCATCCTGGCTGTGAGTGGGTCGGTCAGTTGCCAAGTTTTGGTGGTTAATCACAGTTAGCGACCCTGCACTTTACCCCTGGGAAATACTCGAGTGGGCGGTGTTCTATTCCGACCCCCAAATTTGCGGTGAACTGGGGGGTAGTTAGTTGGTTCAAGTTGGCTGACTATGAGAGACTTACTGGAGAGAGAGAGAACCTAAGAGGGGAAGACGACCAGTATAATGAGGATGATGCCTGTTCGTCATTGCTTCTCCGCTCATATTATTGAGTTTAATAATATCGAATAGATTATCTTACATTGACATCGGAGAGTTTTCCCCTCGGAGCTTCACAGGTGCTCATTTCTTGGTCTTGGTATTTCTTGGGCATGACGAATGTTAACCGTCTTTGCAGAGAGTGAAGAGTGATGACCACCTTGGGATCCATTGACAGGCATTGGTCTGGACTTTTGGGATGGACCAACAATGAGAGGAGATTCTGAATGTGTTGCTTCCACCAGCAGATTGCAGTAGACTAGACTAGCCAGCGTGGAATTGGAAGAAAGACCCAAGGATGGGTGGTGGGCTGTTAATCCATTGCGACCGTGAGAGACCCACCGTCAGCGTATCAACCTGGAACGGGGCGTTGATTGGCTCAGAAGCGCCCGTTCCTGAAACGGGCGGCATGCGCCTTGACCCAGAGTAGCTTAGTGGCGAAGCCAGGGGCACGGGATTTTGTTCGACGGTTGGACAATCCAATCCCTGCAAAATATGCCCTCTTTTTTCCTTTGGGTCCCCAACTTTTCCAGGGGCAAAAAAAAAAAAAAAAAATAATGCGACAGAAAAAACACCTCGTTACTGGATAGTTAGTACAGTAAGTACTCCGTAATTATGTCGATTTGCCGGTAACCGTGAGGCGCGATGTCGGGCCGCCTTATGGCTGCACTCTGTATCCTCTCTGTATCTCTTTCCCGCGTCTTGCTACTCTTTCTGGATCCAACATCGTCTCAGGTCTCAGGGACGTGGAGGTCAGAGACCCTGGCCCTGGAAGATTCCTTGTCAGAAACGCCATGGGCGGGAATGTATCATCAACCAAAGGGACTGGCCCGGTCAGTTACTCGTAGACGATCTTCTTTGCTATTCTTCCACCCAAAATTCCCTACTGTGTATCTCTCCCTTTCTGAAAACTCCGGGTACGTGCTCGTGGTTGGGACATACGTAGTTACTCAGGGGAAAACAATGGACACAAGCACCAAGGCACGGCATTCCGTGGAACTAGGTCGGTGTACACGCGAGCTGAACCGATATTAATGCGCTGGGACCGCATGGCGCTTTGAATGAGCCATTGAATCTTTCTCTGTTCCTGTCTGTGTTCTGAAAGAAATTGGCTGGTCAAAGGATGCTCGCCTGTCTGCTCACTCGGGACAGGCCCCCATCCATGACCCATCGCGACGTCGAGATCCGTCCAGAACCCACTCGTATATGAAGCTCCCCCCGTCTGAATTAATTTGCGTTTAATTATCAGAGATCGCCGACCCCACCGGGTACACGCCGCCCGCTGGAGTCGCTCTCCTTTCCGTGATTAAGTTGCCGCCCCAACTCCAGCTGCTCGCTCTTTCTGCTCGCTCCAGACTATATTATCACTTCACGCCCACTGCCCTTCGTTCTTTACCGTTGGCCCTTTTTCCCACCGTTCCCTTCCAACCTTCACCTCACCTTTTCGCCTTTATTTTTGGTACACTTTTTTCCACTCCTTCAAAAAAGTGTTTCCTCTCCCTGAAGGCTGTCATTCTTTTTGTCCATAAGTGCTGGTTATTCGTACATATACACCCACCAAACCCCCCTTCGGTCTTACCAACCCAACCACTTCGCAGTCGATCTGCATATATCGCCAGAAAATCCTATCAACTTTTATCTGTGTCATCCACTGATTCGTGCCTGTTGATCTCTTGGCCGCATAACTTCCCGGAGAAGTCGATCTCAATCGGACACAGTTGAACTGTAGTAAATCATCTCAACTCTTGGCAAAGACAATACCAACAACCCTCATTCTCAATCATGCGCTACTCTCTCGCTCTGGGTGCCCTTTGCGCCGCTGGTGCCTTGGCCAACAATGTTGACAAGCGTTCTTATGTGACCGACTGGACCGTTGTCACCTTGACCACCACCATCACCGAGTACCCTACTCCCACGGTCTATGAGAACGTTGCCGCGCAAGAGGCCACTGCTGCTGCTGCTGCTTCCTCCTCCAGCGCCGCTGCCGTTGCCGCTGCCGCCGAGTCATCCAGCTCTGCCGCCGCTGCTGCTGCTGCCGCCTCCGCCTCTGCTGAGGCCAGCACTTCGTCTGTTGTCACTCCTGTTGTGGAGACCACCGCCGCCGCGACCACTGCTGCTGCTGTCGCCACTTCCGCTGCTGAGGAGGTTGCTACTTCCTGGACCTCCGCCTGGACCTCCGCTTGGACTTCGTCCTGGTCCTCGACTGTCGCGCCGTCCACCACCCTTGCGACCTCGACCTCGTCCAGCGCTAGCTCGACCGCCACCAGCGCTTACCAGTCCGCGGTCTTGTACAACCACAACGTCCACCGCAGCAACCACTCCGCTAGCTCCGTCGAGTGGTCTTCTGACTTGGAGTCGAGCGCCTACACCCTGGCAGCCAAGTGTGTCTATGAGCACGACACGTAAGTAGATCATGCATTCCAGAAAACCCCTGTTCCTTGCGCTAACGTGAATGCGCAGTTCCATTGATGGCGGTGGCTACGGTCAGAACATTGGATATGGTGTTGAGGCTTCCGAGATTGGCGTCATGATCACCAACCTCATGTACAACGACGAGATGGGCTACTACACTGACCTGTACGGCGAGGCCGACCCTGACATGACCTACTTCGACAACTGGGGCCACTTCTCCCAGATTGTCTGGGCTGCCACCACCCACGTTGGTTGCGCTACCGTCACCTGCGACAGCCTGGGTAATGTTGATGCCTCCGAGGCTCTGCCCTTCACAGTCTGCAACTACAGCCCTGCCGGTTAGTATACCCGTTTCCCTCCTAATCTTCGATAAGAGATTGCTGACAGGTTTGATTTTCAGGAAACTATGAGGGAGAATATGCCACCAACGTCAAGCGCCCTCTCGGCCAAGCTGTTTACGTTGCGTCCTAGATGGCGAGAGATGATTTCGCGTGACTGTGCCTGGAGACCGTCGCTCTTGCACCATGTCAAAGAAAAGTCGGTTTCCCCGCACCTGACGGGTAAAACGGTCAGCTTTGCCATGACGGGCGTTGGGGATATCGATGCATTGGGTTAGAGCTGCCTGTGATGGAAGTAAAACACCTGTCCCTGATCCGTCTGGTGCAAGGGCGATTCTCTGGCCACCGGCCATGTGCGAACATCGAACAATGGAGAATCTGACGATCATCAGTCCTTTTTTGAAATTTAAATCTCATTTCGCCTTCGCACTGTCTATTTGTTTTTGATAATAAGCTTGTCTTCGTCCGAGACATGTCCTGCGCTTGTTTCAGGCCCGGATCGCCAAGACGCTCTGACGGAGGTTCCATCTGGGGAAGATCTACCCTACCGCTTGCCCGAAGAACCGAAACAGGATCCACCCGACCTCGGAGCCCGTGGGCTAGAGCAGGTGCACGGCGTGACTTGCTTTTTTTTTTTTTTTTTTTTTTTTTTTTTTTTTTTTTTTTTTTTTTTTTTTTTTTTTTTTTTTTTTTTTTTTTTTTTTTTTTTTCTTATGGTTTGGGCTCAATGAGAGACAACAT